TGGGTGCTGGTCCCACAGGGTTGGACTTCCCTCCTGCCCTGGTGGCACTGAGATACTTCGGAAAAATAATAAGGGTTGTGAAATGTTGTGTGGTTTCCAAGGCCCTCTTTTTGTGGTGGGGTTGGTTGGTTTTGATGTGGTGTTAAGTTCTTGGTAATGCTGTTACTCATCCAAAATACGTAGTTTATCGGTTCCTTAGAATCATTGGAATAATTCAGGTTAGAAGGGACCTCTGGAGGTCATCTAGCCCAGCATCCTCTCCAAAGCAGAGTCAGCTGTGAAATAATAGCATACAGTTTTAATAGGTGTATTGCCATCTCCTGGCATATTCAGGGGAACAATTGGGATGGTTTCCAGGGTTTGTAAGGACTTGCAAACTCTCCTTAAGTGCAGTGTCACACTTAAGGGGCAGGGGAGTTCTGAATATGGGCAATTTGACCCAACTTCATGCTAGATTTAATTAAGAAGAAATGAGAGAGAAAAATAATAGAAGAAAGCTTTTCAAGAAATTAGCAAAAATTCTTCTCCTTGAGTTTCCCATTAACAGGGCAGATGGTCAAAGCTTCGTTCCATGGTGCAACCTCCTATTCGTATTCATTTCATGCCAGTAGATTTTAACTTTTAATTTTTGCACTTCAAGCTGTGGGGTGTCATTTTGGCTGTCTGGTGTCTCGGTCTCTTTTGCAAACAGAGTTATTTTTGAAACTGTCTGTGCAGATTCTGACTCATGAGATCTCCTTCCACGGCTGTTCCTCATATGCCAGGTCTTTATTTCACTACAGTGCAAAGGAGTTTTTCAGATAAATGTGTGTTCATTCCTGGTTGTGGTTTGTTCCTGTGCTGGTAGGACCAATATTCTGTGTGCATCATTTTCAGGAACTGGAAATTGCAGGAGTAATCATCCCTGGACTGTTGCCAAACCCATCTTAGTTCCAAGGGAGAACTGAAAGAAACATAATCATAATGTATCATTTTAGAAGAAGAACTAGAGGCAAATCCAACAAATCCAAAAGTATCCAACTTGGCTGTTTTATTTTAGATGAAAATTAAGTTTTTCCTTCCTGGCCACTGTTGTAAGAATGATGAAGTTGAAGATCAAAGCATGAAGAATTACAGCATTGATTACTGGATTGAGAGTAGTATTTTGAGGAGATTAGTGAGATTTTTTAGTGATTATAAATAAGAACATTCTTAATTTGGGTTTATCTTATGTGCCAAGGGGAGACCAGACCCCTCCTTTTATTGCCTTTTATAATAAGATGTGTGTTTTCACTATGTTGTGAGTATTCTGTTTATTGAGGAAGTAGCTGTACCTGGCCCAGCTCCACCTGCTGGGCTCCTCCTCTTTCAAATTTGGTTACTTCCGAAGGATGGATAAAGCAAGAGATTGGATCACAGCTATTAGCACAAGTTTGCTGAGTTAAGAAGGAGTAGTTGTCCCTTACAGTTCTCTCTCCAGAGCAGTTCTATTCTTAAAAGCAACAAAAGGGGCAATGGATGGAAACTAGAGCACAGGAAGTTCCACCTCAACATGAGGAAGAACTTTTTTACCGTGAGGGTGACAGAGCCCTGGGACAGGCTGCCCAGAGAGGCTGTGGAGTCTCCTTCTCTGGAGGCTTCCAAGACCTGTCTGGGTGCCTTTCTGAGTGACCTGTCCTAGATTCTGTGGTGGTCCTGTCTGGCAGGGGGGTTGGACTTGATGTTCAGAGATCCCTTCCAACCCCTACGTTTTGTGGTTCTGGGGGAGGTAAAAATCAGACGTGTCAGTTCTTCACCTCCCAGGATCTCTTGTCCTGTGGAGCTTATGCATTAAAAATAGAGAAAATATTTTCATTCCTCTGAAGAACTGAGCTTTAAATTAGGGTTTAGCCCAAGGAACAAAGTGTGGAGCAGAACCTGGTCGTGTTTGGGAGTTGTTAGAAGGTATTTCCTCCTTTTCCCTCCCAGTGCTGGGTACAGACTGGCTGGAGGTGCCATGAGACACCAGGAAGGGCTTGGATCTGTCTCCCTTGCTTTGCTGTGAGTTACCATGGCACAGGACACTGGGGATGGGACAGAATGGACTTATGACAGAACTGTCACTCTAGTACCCTCATTGGGCTGCTGTTCCTTTCCCAATCTGCCACGTCTTGCAGCTTTCCATTTGCAGTCCTGCTTTGTTCCCCGTTCATGCTCTTTGTTCCAAGTGCAATGGCAAGGCCAAAACATGCCAACGTGTCTGCATGAGCTCAGCTGAGTTCCTTCTGCTCAAAAACATCTCGACCATGAACCTCAACGGTTCATGTGCACAGTTCTCAGGGGCCTGGTGGCATTTTCACTGGTATTTAAACAACCAGAAGTGCAATGGCAACTATGGAGTGCTTCCCAGAGGGCATGGAGCCTGAGGGGGGATGGAAGTGGAGGAAATTAACATTTTATTTTAACTAGTCTTTCCTTTTTAAAGAAAAAAAAAAACACACAAAAAAAAAAGGAAAGAAAAAAAGAAAAAGAAAGAGAAAAAGAAGCTTATCATTCCTAAGAGTAAACAGGTTGAAAATGAAGGGAATGGATTTTTCCCAGGCACCTCCAACGTCCCAGTGCCCAGTGCTGCCATATCACCAGATTGCCTAGAGTATTTCTGGGGTGATGCTAATAGACAAGAGATCTTCAAAAGAAAAGCTAAAACTCATTCTTCTGCTTGTTCCTAATCACTTACTGGAAAGAATAATTGTTATGGTTTGTTGTCACTTCCTTCTTCAACACTATTTGTAGACTTGAAAGAATGTCTGTGTTTTCTAACTAATCGTTTTGCCTCTTAAAAAGTGTGGGTTGAGAGGTCACCAGGGAAGGACACACACACCAGCTGCTTCTGAAATAAGTAGCTTCCTCCTGGAGCAAAATGGAAGAACATTGTTCCATATAACAAAGCCATGGTGTAGAAACTGGCGTGTCTCCTTCCTCACCCTTATTCTGTTTGGTTTACTGAATTTAGGTTCACCATGTCTACAGAAGGACTAATGTTTCTTTTTCAGGCTTGATTTGGGTTTAGCATAGAGAATGGCTGAGTGTTAATGGTGTCATTCTGGTTACAAGAACACATCTCAGGGGTCAAGATATATAAATAATATCAAGTGAACTGTTGCCTGAAACTGAGGAGTATGTGCTGATAGTTTGTCTGCAGTGTAAAATTGAGAATTCCTGACCTCTCAGATGAGCAATTAAATTGCATCTGAATGTCCCTCCTGTTGCTGCTGTGATGCTGTTATCTGGGCTGTGCATGTCCTGTCCTTGAAACCATCCTTCTCTTGATAACTCCATGCCTTTTATAAACAATGTCTCCTAAATGCAGTGCAGAAAGTTGCTGTTCTGCTGCTCCCATTCCTCTTTCTGAGCTTTTTGGACTATAGTGTCTGATTAGGAACAATCTGAGCAGTTGCAAGGAATGCAGTGTGTTCTGTGCACAGAGACCATGTGTTTCAGCCATAGCAAGGGGAAGAAGCTGGCTCCCAGCAAAAAGGGGTCCAGACCTGTGCCCATTGGGTCACTTGCTTGTGCAGCAAATGTTCCTGGGGTGTCAGGCTGTGGAGGGGAGTTTGCTGCCACTGACACTGCCAGATGCTGCAGATACAGCTTATACTAGAGAGAGAACTTTTTCTGTGCAAAAAGAGGCAAAAGCTGATGAACACCTATGAGTTACAGACTGGGTAGCTGGTCATGCAGGATTGGGATTGAAATAAATTCATGACAGGCATCAAGTTGACACCCCCCCCCCTGAACGGGCATGGACAGTAGGGAGGGAAGTGAGAGGGAATGATTTGTGTTTGTTAGAACCTTTCCTAGAAGGGAATCGACTTGCCAGAGGTGGTGTGGCCACCAAGTGCCAGCAGAAGGCTGAGCCCAGGAGCTTGGTTAGCCACCAGAGCAGAGCATGAAATCATTCAGTGAATATGGTTGTTACTTTGTGAGTGCTGCCTGATGTGAGGTAGATGTGGTGGTGGTTCCCCCAGCAGGTTCTGCTGAGGGGTCAGAGGAGGCATTGGTGGTGTTCCTCGTTTTTTAAAGAAAAGCAAGAGCTCAAGACAGGTGGAAGAATGTGTCACCTGCTGTCGGATGAGATCTTCATAAGCAAAGCTGGCATGGCACTGGAAACCATTCCTGTGTTTGTTCAGGATGATAGATGCAAAAGGAGCCAACATTTAATTGTCTCTGCACAGTAAATTATTTCAGGAACTGTCCTACTCCTGTGTGTAACTCGGCTGCAGAACACAAGTGCTGTATCCTAGAGCTATGAACACGGGGCTGCTGCAGATCTCGGGTGCCAGCAGCTGACCCACTTCTCTCCCCTGGAAGGGAGGGGTCCCTAGATGCAGTTTTGCTCCTATGAAAGCAGCAGATCTGTGAAATAAAAATAGTTACTTAGGAACTGGAAGTTTGGAGCAGAACATAGAAAAACCACCATAGTTTGTCCTTCTACGTTGTACTTTGTGTTTGAACTTTGCACTAGAATACGTCAACTTGTCAAAGGCTTTCTGGTATCTGGCACTGTGCTTAGTTATCTATTTATCTGTGCATTTTATTTTTAATGTTTTCCAGATAAAGAGCTGGGGGGGGGGAGGAAAAGTCCTTTTATTAAACCCTGGAAAAGAGCAGCAGAGTCGATATTTGCCTGGTCTGCTGTGTGTTGGGGAGGTTAAATGTAGCCCCCAGCAGAGTTAATTGTGGTTGCATAGGTGCTTCTACAAATTTTGTTCAGCCTGAGCCAAGGATTACCTGAAAGCAGTGTAGAGCTCCTAAAACTGGGGAGGCAGTTCGTCTAGAAGTGCTCATTTGCCCAGGGAAGCAGTGCTCATTTTGCTGGGCATCGTGGCTCTGGCTCCATCTCCGGTTCCATGTTTAAGTTTATTCCCAGTTCACGCCAACCAGGTTTCCTTGGTAGAACCAGAAACCCCATTGCAACAGGGTCAGGGAATCCTCTAGGCAAGCTGAAGGAGTTCTGAGGTGCTGGGGTTGCTCTCTTGCAGGACCAGCTGAAGCAGTGCTTCTCCAGGCAGCCCCCGGACGCCAAGGACACGGACACGCTGGTGCGGGAGCCCGACAGCCGGTACGGCACGTGGAGCCAGCGGCACCGCGGGGACAGGTACGGACCGGGGCCCTCCCGGGACCAGCCTGCCCTTACTGAGCAGGGAGGGCAAATGGGGGGGCTGGGTGTGCACGTGGATGGGTTTTTGAAGCTGCAGGCTCAGTCTGGGACTTGGCAGCCCCTTCCATCCAGAAATAGTTGTTTAATACCTGCAAGTTGCAACGAGGTTCGAAATTTAAGCTCCAGCCTCTGGTGGGAATGCAGGGTCCCCTGCTCTCTGAGCAACCAGCTTGGGCTGGAATAGATTTAGCAAGGCTGCTTGGCAGTGAAATGTAAGGTAGATGTTATGTTTTGGTGTTAAAGGGTTAGAAAGAAGATAGGGGAGAACAGTTTTTTCTCAATAAATACACAATTGCTTTGACTAGGTGAATGTAGGTAGTAAAAAATGCTTTGTATTTATGTGTTTGTGATTGGAATTAGAAATGTAGGAAGTCACATTTAGAAGGTGGTTACCTCTTGTGTGCTGTCTGCCTTGGGTGGGGAGAGCTGGGTGCTGGGGAGAGCTGGGTGCTGGGGAGAGCTGGGTGCTGGGGAGAGCTGGCTCGAGGGACCCACTGCCTCCTTCTTGGGTAGGTGAGGGAGTGTCTGGTCATGGTCAGGGCACACGGACAGGCTGGGGACACGTGGGGTCTCCCACATGAAGGGCTGTGCTGCCAGCTGGGCTGAGTGACACCCTCCATTGGGAATGGGTGCTCCCATCACTGGGCACCTGCTCCAGGAGCAGGATGGTGTGTGGGGAACCCCCAGCCTGCCCAGGTACACCTCAGGTTGCTCTGTCCCCAGCTCATGGACTCAAGCATTTTAGCGTGAGGAGGAGGAGGATGAAGTGGGATGTCAGTTGAGTGAAAGAGATTGAATTGATGTTTTTCTATTATTAAAATGGTTTATTGACATAAACCTGGAGTGTTGAAGTGTAAACTGTAGCTTGATCTACACTGAGCCCATATCTTGTTTGTTCAGTGAAGAATGAAAATAGCATTTTATCTGTTTTTATTTTAATGCTATACTTGTTGAGATCTTGCAGCAGACATTCATGCCAGCAGTGCTTGCTGTGTTCTGCACTTGAGAACTCTGCATTATAAATATTTCATTGCTTATGAAACCTGAAGTTCAGTGAACAGAGTGACATGCCAACAGTGACACCCAAATCTTCTGTAAAATTAACTTTGATTTCAGTATGTGACAAATGTTTTCTGAAATCAGTTTGTAAGCAAAGGTTCTTAGCTCCAAACCAGCACTTGAGTGTTACCTCAGACCTGGAGGATTCTTCCCAATTGGAAAAGCTCCACCTAAAAATTCTAGTTTATTGAACAATCCTCATGTCCTGGAATTTAGTTTCAACTCTAAGAAATACTTAGATTTTTTTCTTCCGTTAACAGTGCAATGATGACAATTAGTAACTTCTCAGCCTTGTGCCACCCCCCTGCTCTGCTCTAGTTTGACACATCAAGTTCTGTTGATGAAATAAAGATGCTGGCAGTGGGAAGAAGGAACAGCAAGTGCCTGGAAGTGTTCAAGGACAGGCTGGATGGGGCTTGGAGCAACCTGTTCTAGCAGGAGGTGTCCCTGCCTGTGGCAGGGGGCTGGAGCTGGGTGATCTTTAAGGTCCTTCCCACCCAAACCAGTCTGGGATTCTATGACTTACGGTTCAGTGCAGGGGAATTACTGGTGCATTAATTTGAGCACTTGGAGAGGAATGACATTAACGTACTTTTAAATATTGAATTAATAATGGAAATCTTCCTGGAATACACTGAAGCTGCATTTTGTTTGCAGTTGGTTTGTGATGGAGCAGAAGGCTTCCTGCCAGGACGAGTGCAGACGTTCTCCTCTTGCCAGGGATGGGCTGAGCGCGGCTCCGCGTTCGGCCACTGCCTCCTCTGCTCAGCCCCGGGGCAGGAACTTCCAGGAAGCTTTGAGAATTCCACTTTCCTGTTTTGCCTGGCTCGCTTCCCTTAGGCTTTACATCCTGCCAGCCTCACAGCCCGTGGGCTGTGTTCCCCACACACCCCATGTGGCCATGAGCTGTGTCCTGGGAGGGCAGCAGGGGACAGGCACCATGTCCTGTGTCCTGGGGGAACAGCACCAAGGGGGAACACCATGGCAGCAGGGGCAGAGCAGCTGCTGTGTTAGAGGATCATCCAGTTTTGGACATTTGTTCAATGTTTGAGTTGTGGAGCAATTATTTTAGCCCCTTTAGGAGTGTTTCATTGATGCATCTGTGAATGAACTCATTTTCCCTGGGAGAGGAAGGGAAATTTACAATAAAAATCCATGACCACATGGCAACAGGATAAACCTGGTCCTATTCCTAGATAAGCTGCTAAGGAGGTGGAGGAAGGATTCTTTTCAACTAGAACTTAGTCACTGCTGGGGTAAGATGAAGGGGCTGCCCTTGGCTGGTTGCAATGGACTTTTGCAAGTAACTTCATAGAATGGAAGGAGTTGTTTTAGTTTGGAGGTGTTAATTGGATTTCTCTTAGCTTATCTAACAGATTTTATTTTTCTAAAGCCTAATGCTGCAGATACCAAATATCATTTGATGCAAACATACTGGACAAAAACTTCCCCCCAGAGCTCATTAGCACCATTTCTTAATTATCCTGGGGCCCACTGCTGGAGGAGGGCAGAGGCATTCACTCTGCTCGTGTGCTGGAAACCCTCAGAGCAGCGTCTGCTGGGCTGGAAATTGTATCATGTGCTGCAGCCTGAGGGGAAGTTGTTAGTCAGCAGCAGAGTCCTGGGAGTTTTCCTCCCAGGATGACTATCATTGTGGCTTGCACCAAATGCTAAGGCCTAGTGTTTAGAAAAAGTGCATATCTCCATAAATACAGGTTCAGATCTGTTTGGTTTTAGAAGAGTGTTCCCAGAGGTTGCTCAAGAGAAGGTGCTTAGTAACAGAAGACTCTTGTTAAGAAGAAGAAAAAGAATCCTTAAATACTTCAGGTTTTGTTCCTTTAAACTAGAAACTCCTAAAATTAGAAGCAGGACAGGCCTATTTTTAGTGACAGGAGAGTTTTACTGGGTTTCCTACCATCTCCTGTTGTTTAAGGGAATACTCCAACCTACCTGACAGGGGGAGACACGTAACTCCAGCTCTCAGTCACTGCACCTCATCTGTGTCAGCCTGTGCAAAGGGGAGATTCCTAGGGCTGCACTGGGAGCATCACAGCCCTGGGGTGCAGGCCCTGCCACCCTTGGTGCTCTCCCCAGCACCCCAAAAGCCTCTGCAGGTAGGGCCCTGCCTGAGGGTGCCACCTGCTGCCCACCTCCCTGGGTTTGGCATCTGCTGAGTGTGTGGTCCAAACTACCCATGTCTGAGCTGCTGTCCCCTGAGGTCTCATTGCTGTCACTTCCTTCACCTGCAGCTTTGTGCCCGAATCCCCTTCCTCAGAGAACGATGTCATTTCAACAAGAAAGCAGCCCCCAAACAGCCACCCCTCCTCCCTGTCCTCGCAAACGGAACCTGCCTCCCTGGCTGATCACCATGACTTCTCCAAAGACCAAAGGAGCACAAGTTTGGACCGTTCCAGCACTGACATGGACTCTACTGATGGGACTGATTTACCTCCCCCAGGAGACTCATACCCCGATGAAAAGGCCACTGATTTCTCCTTCATTGATGTAAGTTCCTGCGATGGGGAAGAGAAGTTCTCCTGTGTTAGCTGTGGTGCTACCCCCATTAGCCAGTATCTTCTGGAGACTTTGCACTCAGTCTTCCTCTGCCTTTCCTTTGTCACATTCCATTTGCCCAGCTGACTTCCTGCCTGAAAGTTTACAATCAAAGTTACAAAGTTCTTCCAGGTCCTGCAGTGCTTATGTTTCAAGAGATTCCCAAAGCTCTTGGCCTCAGATAATGTCTGCCAGTGGCTAATGAAGTTACAGCTTCTCTTGCTGCTCCTCAGGGAGCTGCATCAGGACAGTGCTCTGTCAGCACTGAAGCAGTGAACTAACACAAACACCTAATGGCTCCTGGGCCATGAGGTTGTGGGTGTAAGGCTCTAAAGACATTTACTAATACTTCTCTTTCTGTAGTAGGTTACAATTGCATTTTAAAGGTTTTTTTTTCACACTTGAGAGTCCTTCAGCCAGGGTAAGAACAGTCACTTCTGGCCATGCACACTTAGATGGGTTTAGTGTTTTTTGGAAGCATTAACACAACTGAAGCTTTTCATGATAGCACGTGGGAAGCCTGCTTTGTATTTAGTAAGAGTTGGTGCCCCTTTTTTTTTCAATTATATAATATTTAAAGGCAGATATATTGGGAAGTTCAAGATTCCCAACTGAAAGGGTCAGGCAGCTGCTGGGAAGGTCTCAGATGCTTTCCCTCAACTGCAGAAGTGCCACAGCAGCCCTCAGCTGTTCCTAGCAGGCAAGGCCTGTGTTCTTAAATCAATTTAGGAAACAAAACCCTATTTGTTGCAGGGTTTTTTTTTTATTATTAATTTAGTGAAAATTATTCCTGCAGATTGGACATCCATGGCTGAGAGAGATCAGAGCCCCAGCATTGCACCCATTGCCCCCAGGGTCACCCGTCCCCACCAGCCAGTCCCTTTCATAGCGTTTTAAGTAACTACAAAAATAACCACCGGGCTAACACATGGAGCTTAATTAAACTGAATGGGCTGATGTGCTGAAGTAGGCTGGGAAATCATCATGGGAAAGGTGTCTTTTGTTTTCAAGTAAGGGCCTTGTTTCCCTCCCCAGCACACGGCTGTGCTGGACTCCAGCGCGCTGAAGACCCGAGTGCAGCTCAGCAAGAAGCGGCGCCGCCGGGCCCCGGTTTCCCACTCGCTGCGGAGAAGCAGAGGGCTGGAGTTTGAAAGCAGGTTTTCTTTGACTGAAGAGCCAGATAATGCCTGGATGTTTAAAGATTCCACAGGTATCCCTCCACTCTCTGAAAGAATGATCCGTGACCAGCTTGGTTGCCAGGGCAGGGATGCCTGTGTGGTGTAAATGTGCCTGAAGTTGCTCCGGAGCAGCTTCCTCCTGCCACCTGTGGGCATCCCCTGGAGCAAGTCTTCCCCTCTGTTCCTTGGAGGGTGAGGGAAGCTCCCTTTGCAGTGACAGAAGCTGCAGAAGAGCAGGGTGAAGGAGGGCTGCCATGCCTTTCCCTGCAGCTTCTGGCTGGTGCCTGCAGGCAATTCCGTTAGCAGCAGGGATGCCTGTGTGATGTAAACGTGCCTGAAGTTGCTCTGGAGCAACTTCCTCCTGCCACCTGTGGGCATCCTCTGGAGCCCCTGTACCCTCTGTTCCTTGGAGGGTGAGGGAAGCTCCGGCAGGGATGCCTGTGTGGTGTAAATGTGCCTGAAGTTGCTCCGGAGCAGCTTCCTCCTGCCACCTGTGGGCATCCCCTGGAGCAAGTCTTCCCCTCTGTTCCTTGGAGGGTGAGGGAAGCTCCCTTTGCAGTGACAGAAGCTGCAGAAGAGCAGGGTGAAGGAGGGCTGCCATGCCTTTCCCTGCAGCTTCTGGCTAGTGCCTGCAGGCAATTCCGTTAGCTGGGAAAATACTGAGTTAGAAACCACCACAGTTGGGTGGTTCTTTATGTCTCAGCCTGTTGGTTATTGATAAGAACCACTGTAATTGTTCATATGCTATAAGTGCTCATAAACATTCTTTCTTTCTGGCATCTGTAAGGACTACAGGCCTAGCTAAGGATTAATCAGCTTCTTCTAATCCATCTGTTAAAAATGTCCCCTGCCTGGCCTGTTCCTTGGGATGCAGTAAGGGAATGTATCCAGCATGGAAGAGCCTTGCTGCTCAGGGGAATGGGTGGCTCAATGCACACACTCCTTACAGGGCCATGAGCCCTTTGATGCTGTAGTGATACTGCTGCAGATCTCCTTTAGCTGTTCCCGGGGTGGAGGAGTTACTGGCACTGCAGCCTGTTCTTTGGAGGGGCTGGTGATTCTTTGTAACTGAGGGGACCTATTAAATACTCTGGTTTGTAACCTGCTTTTTCTGCTCTCCCTTAAAGCCTGTGAGAACAGGGAAGGACATGGGATCAAACCAATCTCTTGTGTAGCCTCCTAATTAATAGCAACACTGTTAACTGTCTGGTGGCTGCTTTGGTGCAGATCTGACAGATGTAAAATGTTTTCAGGACCTACCTTGGCAAGCAATGTTGTCCTGGAAGCTGGGGTGATGATCAGCTGAGCCCCTGGTGCTTGGGAAAGCAGCCCCAGCCCTGTCCCTTCCCTGCAGCCTGCAGGGATGGACCAGATAACTTCCAGACATCTCCCAATCTAAATTGATCTCATGTTCTGTGATCAGCTGAGCTGTTCAGAAGCAGCAACATCGGTGACACTGGGAGCACCTTCTGCTCCCTCTGGCAGCAGGAAGTCTTTCTGTTGCTGAGTGCTCAGTGTGTCTGTTGCTTTGATCTCTGTGCTGTGTTCATATTGTTGTTAGTACATTTTTAAATGGAAGGAGAGATCTAGAACAAGGTAGAAATGAAAAGCCTGCTGACTAATGGGTTTTGCCCTTGGGGTTTTTGTTGTGTTTTTTTTAAACAATTCATTAGAGGAGAAGAAAACTATGCAACAGGAGGATTCTGATGAGGAAGGAAAGACACAGCAAACTGTGAGGTCACCTGCTGCCCAAGCTCAGAGGCTACCTGTGTTCCCAGGAATGGACCACTCTGTTCTCAAGGTGACCATGGGCAGAACCCCCCAGATTCTCCCTGGGAATAGTGCTGGGATTCTGCTGAGATGGCCTTGTTGTTTGGGGGGTGGGGGGGGTGTGAGGTGTAGGAAAATCCTGTAGTTACTTTTCTCACTTTTAAAATCACTTACAAATATTAAGTGATTTGGAAAAATAAATTAGCTTTGCAATAATAAATATGCTTTCAAAACAGCCCAGGTTCTAAGGAATCCCTCCCCTGCTTTCAGCCTCCGTTGTTATAATGCTGAGTGGTTTGCTTTGCTTTTTAAAAAAAAGTCTGAATGCTGCCTTACAAATAAGCTCTTTACTTCTATTTTGAAGGCCCAACTGCGGAAAAGACAGGAGTCTGAGAGTGCTGGTGATGCAGGTTCTGCTCAGCTGTTCAAATCCCCAAAAGCTCAGCTGCAGCTGGGAGCTGCTGGTGGCAGAGTGCTGCCCTCCAGCGTGGAGAGGGAGGAGAGGTGAGAGACTCCACCAGCCTCAGGGAGATGGGAAGAGAATAATGTGATTAGAGTTGCCAAGGCTGGAGGGGAAACGATGTATTTATTTTTCTTGTTTCTGTAAGGATTTTTCATAATTAAAGAATAATGAGGTGGGTTTTTTTTATCTTAGGTCAGAAGAAAAGTCTCCTCAGTGGCTGAAGGAGCTGAAGTCAAAGAAGAGACAGAGCCATTATGAGAATCAGCTTTGAAAAGGTACCTCCCCACCCACAGAGGGGCTTTGCAAAATACAGGTGTGTGGTGACAAAACCTCACGTGGGAAGTGTCCCCCGAACTTGTCAGTGTGGTCATTCCTGAAGCACAAACACTAAAGCACCTCCTGTGAAAGGCCCAACCCAGGGTTTGCAGCAGTGAAATTTATCTTCACGGTTTCACTGCTTCTCTGCAGATAATGTTATTTATCAGCACCCAGTGTGTGCTGCCATCCCAGGGTGCTGCCTCAAGCAGGAGCACTGGGTAACCTTCTGTGACCCTTGGTACGTGTGGTTTCCACAGAGTCTGGGCAGCTCTGGAGCACTGAGCACATGAAGCAGGGCCAGACCAAGGTGCCACAACCGGAGTGAGGGGCGTTTGTGGGGACGTCCTTGTGACAGACAGAGTGGGGTCTGACTGCTTGCTCTGCCTTGTCACCATCACTTCAGTTCCTTCTGTTGTTTCTTTCCAGATAGTGTTTCTAACTAGAAGAAGAGAGAGAAGTTTAACAGAAGCCTTAACTCACCTGAACCTACAATTTACATGTCATGTTGCTGCTGTTTGCTTCCTGCCTCAACTGCTATGTGCATGGTGCCTTCCTGTTGTGTGGAGAAAGCTGCTTCCTATTCATAGTCAAATACAAAGCTGGATCTTCTCAGCTGTGGGAGGACAGTCACTTTAGACCTCCCCTGAAGAGGAACCACTGGTTTGTAGTGAGCACTTCAGAAAGCCTGGGAAGGTTGTGAGGTCTGACCTAGTGCTGAGCACCAGGGATGTCCCCTCGAGCTGAGCAGAGACTGCATTTCTGCAGGGGTGTTGAGCAGCTCTCCAGCAGGACTTGTGGTAGACAGGCCAGGTGTAGGGCTGGGCTTTGTGTTTGGTTATGAAAAGAACATTTAATCAAAGTTATCTTTTTTTTTTTTTTTTTCTTTTTTGGTGAAAAAATAGTGAGCTCCTTGTTTAGCATAAAGTTTGTGGAAGGTGCGAGTGGAAGAACAAATGATGTTTACTGCCATACTGAAAAAGGAAACTTGATTATTTTTTGTAAAATGTATTTTTGATTGGCTTATATTTACACGTGATCTGCTGACCTGGCAGAGGAGTATAATTTTTAGATGAACAAAATGTTAACTTTTGTCACTCTTGAAATGGTATATTCTGTGTTTCGTCAGCATGTGGGATAATTGCTTCATTGGAATGTCTTTCCTAAAAAGGATCAAGCAATAATGTCAACCAGTTCTCTTTAAAAAAAAATAAATTAATTGTAAATACTGTTTTTATATCAAAAAAGGAAGGGAAGAGGGAGGATGTTACACTCATATCAGGGTTCCAGTTAATTGTTGAATGTCACTTTAATAGCAGTTTGGATAGTCCCACCTCATATTTTTATTCGTTAATCTGTAAATACCAGGTTTAAGTTTTTATTTTTATGCTGATTTTGTGGTAAAACCTAAATGTGATCTTCAGTTCCTCAGATGATTTTACTTTTCTTCCTTTGGTAAGATGGCTGTTCCAGTAGGGGGGTAGTTCTCTCATGCATAACACGGGTGTTATGAACATCACTGATATCTCTCTTATGTTTATATCTTTGAATACAGATTCTGAAATCAACCAAGATGTCCATCTGAGACATACTTTTTTCTTTCCCAAATAAGTGCTCTTTTCAGGAAACCTTTAAATATGTAGCCCAACAAGGGAGGTTTTTGTCACCTCAGTATTCCTCTTGACTCAGAAAGCAGCACCCTGGGAGTCTGGAGCTGCCCTCCTCCAGGTGTGGGACAGTGCTGATGGCACAGTGTGCCAGGGCTGGGGCTGCTCCTCACGTCCTGCTTACCTGCTTCTCTAGATATTAAAGATAAAGCACCAGCACTTGAACTCATTTTCCTCTCCTTTTAACGATCAGTGTTTAGGAAGGCTGGATTTCCGTGGGGGGTGCTGCCCTGGTGCATCTGCTGGCAGCAGTGGCCTCCCTGCTCTGCTGTCTGTCAAGCTCATAGCTGCCAAAACCATGTGCCAATTCTTCTCCTGGAGGAGTCACAGATGAGGTGATTTTTAGTCCCAGCCTGCTGGCAGGAAGTCACAGCAGGGTGTCAGGAGGCAGGTCCCATATGCACATCTCTCTCTCCCAGCTTTAGTTCTGACAGCAGCTCCTGTACTCAGTGGAGATGAATGGAGTAACTTTCTCTTCTGTAAAAAGCCTTCACTTGGTGCTTGGCCCCATTTCACATCAGAGCTGTTGCTGCCATTAGTTTTGCAGCCCCTTCTGCTACCACTGAAGTCATGATCACCCCAGGTTTCTCCCAAGCCTTTCCTTCCCTGCGGCTTTCCCGCCCGGGCGCTGGGACACGTGCTGGTGCTGGGAGCTCAGCACCTCCTCAGAGCTCACTGGAAAACGTTGTACACATTTTCCTCTTCCCTTTTCATTCGATGAATTCTTTAAGATAAGCTTCATAGATGTGTCTTCTGGGCTGGGTTTTTGTGGCAGGTGTACCAGGGGCTGCAGGTCCCAGCCAGCCCTGAGCAGCCTCGGGGCTGCCAGAGGGGAAGGAGGATCCTTTCCAGGACCCAGATGGCTTTAAACAGTCTCTAGAAATCAGGTAAATTCCCCCTTCTTAGGACAATATTTACCCAAGCTTGATTTCTGAGTTCAGCAGGTGGACAGTGTTGTGTTACCAACAGCTGGAGGATGTTCTGGTTCTTGGTCTGATAAGCAGAGGCCAGAACTGCTGTAGCTGCAGTGTTTGCTGTCTGAGGAAACTGAGGGGATGAATACTGGGTTTCCACAAAGCCCATTGAATGTGTATGCATTTCCACATCTGCTTGGACAATGCACTGAGACTTACTGTATTTAGTAGTTTAACCTACTACTGAGAAATGTTTAATGCTTAAATATCTAATTAAAAAGCATCTTTAGAATGTTTTTGAATGGGAAAGTGTTTTTTCTGCTCTGTCATTCTTGAATACTGTACATAGATGAAATACCTATTTCCCTCTCTTCAGGTTATCACCATGTAATAAAAGATCTATAAATATGTTATCACTACTTAAATGACAGACCACACTGTAATACACTTTATACAATTCTATTTTAATTCCAAACAATGCTTGTTGATTTTTTTTATGCCTTTACAATTGTTGCCTTTTTTTTCCCCTGATGATACAAGATGGGAGTGAGCTCTTAGCTTCAGCACTTTCTTCAGGTGGGTGTTTTAATTCATTGCTGGGACCTGCCTTCGGGCAGGCTCCAACTCTAATGGTGCCTGAGTGATAACAAACGAGGTGGAGATCCCAGCCCTCCTGTGGAGCTCGGTGCCCTCATCCCTCTGTCACTGCTGCTCAGCGTTTTTTGCTTGCTTAAAAAGCTGTATCAGCAAAGTAATGGTTTGTAAAAGTGAAAGGACATGGTTTGTGGAATTTAGAAAGGCTTCTTTTCTGGTTGCACTTTTCTCTCGTTACTACCAGAAATCCTCCCTCTGTTATAGTTGGTCACCTGGGGGTTCACACAGCCCTTCTGGTTCCTTTCATTGCAGTCCCCAGTTGTGGATTTCTTCCTTTTTATTTTTCTGTTTGCAAATTCACCTTGTTCTGGTTTGTGCAGCTTTGACTTGAGCCCATTGCTTGCAGTACCTGCTCAGTCTTGCTGCTTTGGTTCTCCTTCCTGGAGAGAAAGAGGCACCGTTTCTCTTCCTCAGCCTTTGAAGTCTAAAAGCTTTATTTATAAAGTGGCTCTATAGGAATTCCTGCTCCCCTGCCTTTTTGCTTGCTCAGACATTTGCTTTGCCCTCTGAGTTGTTTGCAAACAGTTACAGGCAAAATGTTAAATGCACGAAGGGTCAGATTTATCCCTGCAAACTGTGAATCTTCCACTTCATCCAGAGCAGCAGCATCAATTGGTTTATAACCTTAGCACTTGTGCAAACACACTGGACTGTTTCCCCTGTCCAAGGTATTAAACTGAGGCTGTGGCTCGATGCCAAGGTGCTGCATGGAGAGCTGAGACACCAAATAGCTCCGTGGGAATCAGGGCAGTTTGAAGGCAAATATCTTCTCAATAGTCCAAATCCAGTGCTTTCAAGGTCTGTGCCCCACAAAAGACACTGTCTCTCTACCCTTTTCCCCTGACTATGAAAACATCTGGTGCTGATGCTGCAGGATTAGTGCCCTGAGTGTTCCTGCCTGTGGGAAGCAAGAGCATGTTTGGCAGTCCTTTAACTTGATCCCCTGGAGCAGAGGAGCTGCACATCCAGAGCTGCCTGTCCCAGCCCAAACACACTCCATGTGTGGGGCTGGCTGAGGTCGGAAGGAACCCAGGAGCAGAGCAGGATGAGGCTGTGTCTGCTTTGGGAAAAACTCAAGTCAGTGGAATGTGGTGTTTTAGGAGATGTCCGTGTGTCCCCCATGGGGTGGTGGGAAGGGTTTGCTGAGCCCTTACTGCAGATACTGACTTTGGGCAGTAAACCCACACTTCTCCTGGGAGACCTTGTTTTGCTGGGAGATGGGGTGGAAGTTTCAGGCATCCAGGTACTGGATGCTCCTGGAGAAGCTCCAGGAGCTGTGGAAAAGCCACTTCAGAAGCACCTGGAGCCATGTTTCCAGCAGTGTCAGTGCTGTTGCCAAGCCAGCCCCCCCAAAGTGCTCCAGTAAAGGCCCAGCACTGGTGCCAGCACTGCTGGAGGGAAGAGGATGGAGCCAGAGGAGCTGGAGGAGCCAGAGGAGGTGTGGGATGTGTCAGCCAGGTGCTGCCCTCAGGGTGAGTATGAGAGGGGGAGAGGGTGGGTGGTGGGCAGCCATTGGGGGGGTTTGGAACAGGCTCCTGAGCCCACCCAGCTGCCTGGGCCGCTCTCCCCCACAGCCATCCCTCTTGGCACAAGGTATTCTCATAAAAACACCATCAGAGATGGCTTTTGGCTCTGCTGGTGGGACTGGAGAAGGAGAGACAAGGTCTAGTGGCTGGTTAAACATGATGCTAACAAGCCTGTTTTGAAAGGAGCTGTTGTGCAGATGAAATGCTTGTGTTGCTCCACTTGGCCTTATGGAGTGTGCAAATAGGGGTCACAATAAGTGCAGGGTGCTGCAGGGTTTCCTAAGTCCTGGAGAGGCTGTGGCTGCTGGGCCGTGCCCTGCACAGCTCCAGGGCAGGTTCAGCTTTGCCAGATACTAACCAAAAAAATCTGTTTTCTAACATTGTACGGGAAACGTTTCTCGAAGGGATTTAAGAGGCTGACAGCAAAAGGAAATGAGTTCTGTTAGGAAGACAAATCAGAGTGATCTAGTGCCCCTTCTGTCATGTTTCTGCAGTTGCCTCGTGGATGTGCAGGCTCTGGGAGGTGGGGAAGGAGGATTCCCGGCCCTGCAGCCCTGAGAGAGCCCAGCGGGGCTGCTGGCAGGGGCTGGCCCGGTGAGAAACAGTCTGTGGTTTTTTAAGCTGTTGAAAACAGATGCTATTGTGGTTGGTAAAAGAAACAAATTATTCCATGGTCTCCTCTGAGCACAGAAGTGATTTTTATATTTTACAGCCAAGCAGTTTCATAGTCAAAAGATGAACATGTGAAAAAACCAAACACTGCAATAAAAATGGGCTGTACCAAACCACTGCCCGTGCTGGGGTCTCTGGAGGCACCAAATGTCACTTGACTGGTGACAACAAAGCTGTTGAGCTGCACAGTGCTCCAGTTGCCCTTGGTGTTCA